AAGTAAAGCCAGGTCCCAGGGTCTAGGCTTTTGTAAAATTTTATACGCCCACGTGCTATTCAATCAAGAGCGATTTTTCAAAACACATCGCACATAAAAGATTCCAACTAAAATTTTACCTTTTATAAGTTTCGTGAAATATTTGTCTTCCGCGAGACCGTTGGCAGGTTTTAATACTTTGTGGTCATTTTCGCTGAATTTTTCGAGCAATACCTCTGCCATAACTAGACGTTTGTTGTCATTCAACTATTCCAAAAGAATAAATGCAAATGCGTTGAGGCATCAGAACTTAGTAGCTAAGACATTTCGCTGAATCTCGATTTTAGGCATCCGGTGTTGTTTTAGTACCCAAATTAGTGTACTTTCGGAACAATCTACGAACAGTCGGCTTGGATTCTTACGTAAGATGGAATTTATTGCAGGTCCAAATGATGAGCTCGAAAAATGCAGACACACTTTCAGTCACACTTTCACACTTTCAGTCAGGCCGGCTATGTTGTAGGTTAAACGAGCAAAACGATATTGCACAGGCCTTACGATGTCTGCTATCGATCGTGTCTTTTCGAATTTTCACTTTACTTTATATGCGCTTAATTGTCGGAATGGACCGTTAAGGTGACCCTAATCTTTGCGTAAAATGGCTTTTTCCAGCGTATAGCATTAATTCTAGCCGATTTAAATGAATACTAACCACCAATTCCTATCTTCAAACAAGGCACATCCAAACAAAAAGCAAGCTCTCTTAATGTATATATGTATATGTATATTTATTAATTTATATTGAGATAAGTTGAATTCTTTCTGCATCCATATCGAGAGAAATCATTTCATATTAAAGAATACAACTTTCGATGCTCAATTAAAGATTGGAAGCATAATATACGAAAACAAAAAAAAAAAACGCTATTCGCTTAACTTAACACTAATCGGTAATTATAACTAACAATATGTAGATTTTCGAATAGAGCGAAAAAATTTGCGTTTAAATCTCTTCTCCAGCTTACTTGTTCTATGCGACATATGTAAGTCGTGCAATAGTCCGTCGCTAAGTTTATTTTGTTTTCATATAGGGAAAATGCCTTACATTTTAAATCAACACTTGTGTATTTTTACTTAATCGATGATATTTGAATATTATAAACGGAAAAGTTCGGCTAAAAGTTGAAGGCAATGGTGTTCGTTTGTATAGGGGCAAAAAGAAAAAACTTAAAAAAAAATATCAACCTAATTTTTTTATTTTTAAGGTACCTATGTACATATTTTCATAGGTGTGACATCTTAATAGTCACAGAATAGGGCGGTATACATGAACATTTGACTGCTACCGGTAAACGGACAACCACATATATAATTGTACGAACATAGTATGTACGCACGTGGCCTTGGTGTTGTTAGCAAGAAAAATTTAATAACTATCGTTGTTTGGTTTAAAAATCATAGGGAAAGATGGTTGGTATAATTGAATAATTTGTTTTTTTTTTTGTTTGGTTTTAATACGATAATTAGAAAAAATCTAAATAAGTGCAATAAGGAGCACAATCGGAGCGCATATTGTTGGCCATCGGTGTGAAACGCAACCACCATGGCCACGACGACGACGATGGCGACGATAGCTACGACGTTTCGAACATCTTCAAGCGCAGAGTGGGTCAATTTTGTGGAAAGACATCTTCGATATTTACGAACGCACAAGCACCAAGCGATGCCTGAGCCATCACCTTAAGCAATTCGGAAGCGTGCGCCACACACACATCAAGTGGGGGACGACGCGGATAGTTCATCGATTCTGAAAGTTGATGAAAAATGTTGAATCTTAAAATTTTTATAAGTTTATAGCAAATCAGTTTATGCTTATATGGAAGTAGTCTGAAGTGTTTGAAAAATATTAAGAACAAAATATTTTGGCCTTACATATTTGCGAGTGCTTGGCTCTCTTCCGACTTGTGGTATGCGCGTTGATGTTGTCACACAAAATATATTGGACGAAATCTTTATGAGGTAACTTTAGAGCAAGAATAATTTTTAATCTGTACAGGCATTTGTTTTAAGTTTTTTTTTTTTTACAAATTCTGCAGAGCACACACGGACTAGTGTTCTAATCTACAGTTATTTCTGAACAAATTAATTTGCTTCAATGAATGGTCGGTCGCTAATAGATTTTTGTTTTGTCAACCATAGGTTGTCTTTCCAATAGCTTATATGTACGTTTATTGGAAATTTAACCAATATTTTTCAAACACTTGTTTCCTTTATAATTCCCTGAATTCAGCTTAAATAAATTTTGCCATCTTACCTAAAATGGCGGAATTAAGAGCTGTGCAAACGTTTTCTCTTTTCGTGGGACAAAGTTGCCATCCCAGAGGACTGGACCAGGGATTTGAATAGGCGATTAAGCTAAATGCATCCTGAAAAGGAAAAAACCAAACGTTTAGAGAAACATGGCATACTAAGTATATAAATATAAATAATTTTGCAGAGTTCTTTTAAGAGAAGAATTTATTCTGCTAATACATATCTTGTCATAAGGAAATGGCGCACGCTATCGGTAGGAACTACGATTTCTTTCTGTTCAAGGACTGTACCTCCGGCAGCATTCCTTAAAACTCTTTGAGTGAATATCTATGCTGATTGGATGTAGGCGCTGTCTTATATTTTTCAATGTAAATCTTAAAAATGTGTAATCTATCAAACACGAAAAGAAAGGATATGTTGATAATATACGCAACTTAAAATTTGCTCTATGCGATGGTAATCACCCAGCAAACGTTCCCACGACAGTCGGGTCTACGTAACCGGAACGACCCAGATTTATATCTGGCCAAGGACTGTCACTCCAGCAACACTCCCCAAAAAGTCTTTGGGGAATTTGTATGCTGCTACAACAACAACAACAACCCAGCAAACTATAAAAGCTGTTTTATTTATAAAAACCTTCGAAAACTCAAATACCTACAGTTTAAAAAAGGAAACTCCAGCTAGTGGTGTGTGTGGCTCCTTAACAAGTAGAACGCTTACTAACACTTAAGTACAAACGCTTACTCGAAGTTAAAGCGTTTCTTAAGACCAAAGCCATAGATATTCTTCTGATATCTGAAATCCATTTTACTAATAAAACCCACTTTGAAATTCCAAACTATATATTCTTCCACACAATGCAAGCAATACAAAACAAATACATGGCGTAAGGTCTCTATACAAGCAACAAATATTGTAGTAAAAGATCGAAAAGGTCTGTCAACGGTCTCCGCAAACTACAGCCCACCCAAGCACACTATCAGTATAGCGGAATATGAAAGTTTTCAGTTTCCTTGGAAATAAAATCATAGCCGCATTATTACTTTTAAAGGACAACTATACGCTGCTATCAGAAATCTCTATTTATTTCCGCTCTCGTCCGGAAAACCTATATACTGGCCAACAGATACAAACAATATACCTAACTTCATTGATTTCTGCGTGGCTGAAGGCTGTGAAACCCACACAATGCACTCTACATTCCTTCCGATCTATGGTTTATTCCAACCTTAATTTGAATTTACCTCTTAAATCCCCAGAAAACCTTAACCTGGAGAGCGTATATTTTTACAAAACGAAAGGCCCTGGGACTAAACCTTACTAACCTGCAATGGCTTTTGAATCGTTGCTCTAAAATTATCTATTGGCATACAAAATTCTCCTACACTCTACTATTGTAAAACCGATCTGGGCCTACGGAATTCAGTTGTGGGTAAAGATTTCATTCGAAAACTCTCAGAATTATTGTAAATGCACCTTGTTATGTCACAAACGAGCAACTGCATCGTGATCTTATAATCGAAAAACCCTAATTCATAAAAAGTAAAGAAGACTAACAGCCGCACTCAGAGTCGTTTAATGATTACTTAAGGTGTCCCTCAGTAACGATTTGAAAAATTACCTCTCAGAGTCAGTTAATGATTCGTTAACGGCATTTAATGAACATTAAAGTTAAGTAAAAAAAAAAACCTTTACTTAACTTTTTAACGAATGATTTTAAAATTTTTTGTTTGTTTTCAATAAATTTCAATTTCGATAACGTTGCTGTAATAGTAGCAATGGCCCAGTGAGCAGAGCACTTTCGTGCTATTCAGGAGATTCGAGTTCAATCCTCGGCAAGGAATTCTTTTTGATACATTTTTTTTTAAGTTTTATTGCCGAAAAAATTCATACTTTTTATTTTATTTTACGTTTGGAAATTTTTTTGATTCATCTTTTTTCTTTTACTTTCAGCTTCTAAAATTTTTAGTTTTTTTTTGTTTTAAAAAGATCTTTTTTTCATTTCGTTTAGTTTTTAGAAAACTTATTGCTAAACGATAAATATAATAACACTATTAGCACATCTTTCAATTACTCATTCGAAATACAGAAAAGAGCTTTCAAGATAGTTGCCGAAATATAAAGACTTTTGTCTCTCGGAAGACTGAGGTGAGTTGAAAGTCAGATGCCAGAATTGGCCTGTTATTGGTCTTGTTTGTCTTTTAGCAAACAACTTAATTAAATTAAAAAAAAAAAAATGTTTCCATTTTAAAGCAATACAATCTATAAATCAAAAGAAAATTAGATCAAAAAAGCAATAAAATTCAATAAAGATAAAAACAATTATAAAAATTAAACAAGAAGAAAACTTTCCTGCCCTAGGACTCGAACTCGGATCTCTTGAATGGCACGCCAGTGCTCGCAAAATGATATAAATACTTATTTTTATATTTTATTTCAAACTGAACGAAAAAAGTGAGTGATGCCACAAAAATGAAGGGCCGCAACTGGGGACATACTTAAATTTTTTATTTCATAGTGTTTAACTCTGAGAGGAAACATTAATTAACAGATTTAACAATCATTAGTTAAGTGCCCGTTAGAGCTAATTTAAGGAACGTTTCTGAGTGCGGCTGTAAGTGCTTTATAAATCGAAAATTTGTGTGAAAATGTCACTTAATAAAACTCTTTAAACCTATTATTTTTTTATGAATAAGGCCATAATACCCTAAACAATTTGTAATAGAAATCCTGCCCAAACGTTTTCACCCGGCTGAAGAGAAAATCAACGAAGGATCTTCGTAGAGTATACAAGTTAATCACGCAAAAGTATTGGTTGTGCCAATGGGCATATTCCATTCATGATATTAAAGTATTACCTTGTGAAAACTAAATCAATTATTAAATGTAACAAATACAGATTACAATAAAAAGGATTAACAAAAAATGCCCGTGTACACCTGTTTTCCTGCACAAAGGAGCTGGTTAATCTATAAAGAATAATTTGAATATGTCGAGCTAAGGGCTTGGCCGAGCTCCTTGGTGTTGTCACAGAAATGAGGAAACCTATATTTTTACGGCGCCTCCGAACCACAGATGGTATTTTATGACTAGATTTTCATGACAGAAGAAATATACACGGAGATTTGCTATTGCTAGCCGAGTGCTGACGCTTATTAGGAAAAACTTATTTTGATGTTGGTCGGACTGAGATCGTACCGGATGGCAGTACGAACCCGTAACTCCTCGGCCACCGCGACCCCGAATGAATTTGGTACTTCGAATTGAATTTGGTACTTCGAATTGAATTAGTTTTTCGAATTATTCTTTTTAACCTTTCACTTACTTCTAACATTTGCCGATCTTCGTCATTCATTTTATTTTCCTTTTCCAATTGTTGACCCATTTGAGAGAGCTCTTTGCCGAATTCCAATATTCTTTCGATGCCATGGCTATATTTTTGTGTGGATGGTGAAACATCGATATCTAGAGGGATTTGTGAATAAGTTTTAATAAGAACTTAAAAAAAAATATTTTTTTTTTTGTAGTAAAATACAGACCCATCTCCTCATCCACGTCTAAAGAACTATTAAAATTTAAACCGCCGTTTTTGCATGAATTGCCTGTAAAATAGAAATAAAATTTATTTTATGTTAGTAAAATTGTCTAAAATAACTAAAATTACATATGGATCATGCTTCAGTTTTTAAGGAAATTTTTCTTTAACTCGCTCAATTACCATTTGTTGTGTGTATATTTGTCTCCATTTCAACGTCATTGAGATAATCGATATTGGTGCTATTATTTTTATTACTAATTGAAATCGCATCACCAGAGCAGTTCTCATCCGAAGCACTGTGAAATCAAAGGAAAAAGAGAGCAATTACTTAAGATTTCCTGGCAATTTTTAAGTGTACATTATTTAACAGGGTATTATCACTTACGATGCGTCTTTCATATCTTGTTGATGCGCATGATTATCGACATTTATCACAGCTGAATTTGTTGTTGTTGTTGTTGCCACCAAAGTCTGTGCATTATTGTGTGCTACTGTGCTCTTACCATTCTGATACGATTTGGTTGACTGTATGACCGATGTTTGATTCGGAGGCGTTGTCTGCGTTTGTTTTGTGATCGAATTTGTTAATTTATTATTATTAGGGCAGTACTGAACCAATAAACAAAAAATTAAGACACAAAAGCAAAAAACAGATTATGATTACATGCACATTCATTTGCTTTTCTTTAAGAGCTAAATGCTGCATTTTTTCTTTGTCTTCAGTTTACCTCGATATCGGAGCCATTAACCATTTCTATGAACTGTCTACACTTTAGCATAAACCAAAGGTTTTTGTTATTCTCTAATAGGTCTGGATAAGAGTGCAACGTGTGCTCGATGGCTTGACCCATTTTACCAGACAATACCAGTTTTAATATTTCTGGAAAATAAAGAAAACATATGTGCTTTTTTGTACTTAATCAACTAGCGTTTAATAGGCACGTACTCTGACGATTTCGAATCGACGATAGATCTTCTTGAAACGTTTGTCCAGTAGTTCTGGCGAATGCTTCTGCAGTCTGACTATATCCATTGTGTAAGAGATAAGATGAGACCATTCTAAATGAAGGTAAAAGGGAATATTTTCAATATATATTTAGTAAACATTATGTCAAATAAATGCGCACTTGTGTAGAAGAGTCGTTTGGTCACCCTGATCGGGTGTCATGGGGAAATCGTAAATGGCGGCTTTCATTTGGGCACGCATTTGTTTCATCATGTCCTCGATTTGATCGAATTTAAATGGCTCCTGACCAAAATTGGCGTCAACTTCTTCACCAGGCGTCTGTAGTCCAACAGTTGGGTAAAGTTTGCTCTGGTAAGATATACAAAAACAAGGATTCGAATTATGACTCTCTAACTTATGGATGTATTAATATACATATATTTGTATTTGTTAAACTCTCACCGGTAGATCTCTGAACGCGACACCCAAATCGATGCCATTCTTTGTGTAAAAACATGTATTGTCCACAAAATTGACACAGCAACCGATGATGTCGCCTGTAGTGAAAGTCGGTCCATACGATTGACCATTACCGGATGAAGAAAACGAGTTGCCATCGTCACCATGATAGCCATACGATTGCTTGTCCCAACCTGAAAAAGAAAATTAAGGAAGGAAGCAAAAAAAAAGAGGTTATTTGTATTTGTAGGATGAGCTTTACGCGCTGCCTTTACCTGGTAAGCGGTTCATGCGAAATTGTTGAGCCGTCAAACCGATCCCCATGTAGCCATTTTTGCCTTTCGATATAATTTTTACCTCGAAGTAATAGAGACCACAGGCGGGTGGAATTGGATGAGCTGTGCGCACAGAGGCGGCATCACTGTGTTTGTTACCAACACCTGCAAATAGATAGTGCAAGGAAAACAAAGTAAACCTTTTGAAAAGGAACTTAATTTATAGGAAGATTTATTGTTTGTTATATTTGTGCCAAGAAAGTCACAAATTTCACAGTCACAGTAACAGAAGATCGACCTATATTTGTTTAAGGCTGCCAGAATTTGATTGAATAACGCCCATTCAAAAACGTCCTATCTCAGCAGATTTTCATTGTACCTACATACATATGTATTTTTAGCAGAGATAGGGCGCTTTAGAACAGAATTGTGAGATAGGGCGTTTTTCAATAAAATTCTGAAATAGGACGTTCTTCATCAAGTTCTAAAATGGGACGTTCTTGAAAAGTTGTCTAATCTGTCGTTTTTGCACTGGGTGCCGCGAGATAGGTCGATCTACCGAGATATGTAGGTCGATATGGAGCGGAGCGTCATGCTATCCAAAATCTTACAAGACTTTTTGTTATTGTTGCATAAACAAATTTTTATTTACCGCTCCACCCACAACTCGAAGGATATGCAACTTCATTTTGTATGTAATCCATAAGAAAACAACAACCGTCAGGTGATGGTACCTATTATCAATACACGCACCAACATTGTAGGGGACACTTGCATTCAACAACAACAATATTCATAAACAAATCTCGAAGGGGAACGAAAAAAGTGCATACTGAAAGCAACAAAAAAATTTTCAAGTTAGGTCGGTGTTATGCAGACAAACTTTTGTTTGCCAAATTAAATGGCGGCTGCTTAGTTTGCTCGGAGGTGGTTATGTCGAGTTTGGCACAGGGTTGCATGTTCATTATGGTTTTCATGGCTATTGCCAACACGAAATGAGAATTTCAGATGTACATAACGCGCAAAATTTAAAATTTTTGTATATGACAACACCGATTTTGCTGCAGTTTGACCAAACAAAATTAGTTTGCTGTGAGAGTCGCCAAACTCGCTCTCTCCGAGTTTGCTGCAACAACAATTGCACGCAGTTTGCCAAACAAAATTTCTGCATAACACCGACCTTAAATACAGGCGGATACTAAGCGAAAATTAACGAGTTATTTTCGTGCATTTTTACTTCGTGTTTGTTTTTTATCCGTTTATTCACTGTTTTTTCAGCCGTTTTGTATCTTTTCTTTATAAAATGGCAGCGTTGATTGAACTGCACTGTTGTGATGATAGTGGTGTGGGGACACAACTTGGCGAACGATCTGGCAACACAACTTCGGTGTGCCACGAAATTCCGCAATGGACACGAGTGCTACCATCAGTTTTACTAGGGCTGAGAACCTGCTATAAGGAAGACTTAAAAGCATCACCAGCGGAGTACCTTTATGGGACAACGCTTCGGATCCCAGGTGAATTTTTCATGCACGAGAACTCTCCATCAGATCAGTCATTTTTCCTCGAAGAATTCCGCACCCACATTCAAAAGATAAGACCAGCTCCTACTTCGCACCACTGTCGGCAAAAAACCTTTTGTTACAAAGATTTGTCGACTTGTTCGCATGTGTTCCTCAGAGTCGACGCTACCAGGCGACCGCTCGACCAGCCCTATTCAGGTCCTCATAAGATCGTCAAAAGGATAGATGAGCGCGTTTATACCATCGAGGTCAACGGCAGAGATGTCAACGTGAACATCGAACGTCTTAAACCCGCACATTTAGCCAGCGATGACATATTTGGCAGCGCCGCCCAGAGAAGAGTTCTAAGTAGACCAGATCTTCCGCATCATCCTAGCATGTCAACAAGCCTACCCAATAACTACGGCACCAATCATTAAATGTGGCTTTTCGGGTTCCTGCATACAGCCTCATTTAGGGGGGAGTATTGTGGGGACACAACTTGGCGAACGATCTGGCAACACAACTTCGGTGTGGCACTATCCTTCATTCCGTTTCACATTGTCATTCGTTAAAAAGTCCTAGCCGTTGCAACTCAAAAAAAGGAAATTCTCTTCTCAAGCAAGCGGCAGAAGGTTCTAGATTCCAACAGCGAAAACCAAAGAGAATCGTTTTAAGCAATTCAGTTAGTTCTAATTGTTCCATTCAAGTGTTAAGATTATTAATTAAACAAAGAAATAAATATGTGGTAACCCAGCTAGTCGCTACAGTGGGAAAACAAAGTAGAAATAAGAAAACAAAAACAAAAACAAACAACATTCTGAATGGAGAATGATCGAACACTGTGAGACAATAATAGGCGAAGGCCCTGGTCAAAGCAACATCGAAAAAAATAAAGAAAAAAGGTTTTTTTCTTAACAGCGGTCGAGTGCGGCAAGCAATGGCAAACCTCCGAGTGCCGTTCGGAGTCGGCGTAAAACTGAAGGTCCCTCCGCTTTGTGTGACAACATCAAGGCGCACACCACAAATCGGAGGAGAAGTTTGGCCAAACACTAACATATGGTAAGCGCCAATCTATATTATTATTATTATTATTATTATAAATAGATATCGGACTTTTTCGATTAATAAAAAGCAAGTTCATCGATAAAATGATGTCGTAGGCCGGAATTAATAGTTTTGTCTAAAATTTACTCTAAATGCTACAGCGTTTTTGAAAGAATTGGATAATAGAAAAAAAATAATAATAATACAAATTTATATGCAGATATGATGGTGCCTTGAATGATGGTTATTTTCTTTTTTCAACATAATCGATATGTGTTTTTTTGTTACAACAGTTACATATAAGATATCTGTTTCCACAAAAATATATAGCAATTAATTGTAGGTACCCCAAGATTTGCAGGTTTTACAGGATTTACAGGAAAGACTGTTTTCGCAATTTACAAACCTTATGGTGACATACGGGAACATCTTCCTGTTAAGCCCTGTGAATTCCGGCAAATCCTGAAGTATTGCAGTCAAGTCTCAAGGTATCGACAAATTGGAATAAAACGTTTTGCACTATTTCTGAGTATTAAATAAAGTTTATTTTTCAATTTTTAACTTACCTTTATAGTGCACACGTAGATTATTCTGCGAAAGTCCAATCGATAGACATTTGTCGTGTGGACTCCAGCAGCGCGGCAGTGGAGTTTCAGCTTCGTTTACGTTTGGATAGAGCATTTTTAACCGATCGGTCACCTGCTGATGCGAATGGTGATGATGTATGCTGCCGCTGCCACCACCAGTGGTAGCGCCAGGAATGGCAGACGCACCACCACCGGACGGGTTATCGCTGTTGCTGCTGCTCCCAAGCATGCTTGCCGTCAGGAGTACGTTTGTGTTTGCGCCGTTACTGGGGTTTAGTGGGTTGACGAATCTGATGTTGTTGTTGTTGTTGTTATTGTTGCTGCTGCTGCTACTGCCGCCGCCACCAGATAAAGCGGGTATGTCAAACGAAAATGGTGTACTGCTGCTACAGCCACCAAAGTTAGGATAGTAATGATGATGGTGGTGTAGTGGGTGCGTAAATGGATGGTGTGTAAAGTGCGGGGCGTAAGAGGGTGCAGCGGATGACTTCGATGCTCTAGCCTCGTTGCCTGTGTCCGCTTCTTCGTCTTCGTCGCCTTCCTCCTGCAGCAGCAATGGCAGTGATGTTGGAGGTGTTTGGTTTCGATCTGTTGATGCGCTACTACCAGCTGGAACTTCTCCTATTACGCTCAAAGAGGAGCGTTGAGCACCGCTCAAACTTTCCGGTTGCTGTTCTTGATCTTGAGAACGCTGCTGCTGCTGCTGGTTATGTGGTTGTTGTTGACTGGTTGATGCAATATCAGCACTTAAAATAGCTTCTCCAGTGACTGCTTCTAATGCAGATGCATCAATGGTATCGGCAATTGTGCTAGTGTCGTTGAATGCGCATTGGTGCGTTTGAAGCTGTTGCTGTTGTTGCTCTGTGGATATTGCTTCCTGATGTTGCGGTTGCTGTGATTCAAGTGGTGGTGATGGCGGTGGTGGTAGTAGTGCGTGTTGCTGGAGGGAGGGAGAGGGAGAATGGTCAAAATGAAGCGCATGTTCAGAGTGTGATTGTTCTTGTAGTAATTGTTGTTGTTGCTGATCATGATAAAGTTGGAGATTGTGTGACGATGATGTTGGCGACGACGATGATGAGGAGGATGAGGGAGGTGGGGTGGTATTGTTATTGAATAAGAGGGGTAAAGCGAAAACTGAATTATCTGACTGCTGTGTTTGCAATGGGGGTGGAGGCGGTTGTGGTTGGGGCAACCCAGCTGAGCCGCTTTGCACGTCGGGTTGCTCCTGCAAGTCCAAGTGCTCGGTCGGATCGAGCTCTTCGCCAACATCATTATCCGACGATTGTAGTATTGGGATCATCGGTAAATTGGCAAGCAAATTACTGCTACTACTATTGTTACTGCTGCTCGTCGACGACGAATTCAATTGCTCATTATCGATATCGGGGTCCATTTTTTTTTAATTAGAAAGTTGCAAATATTGTAGTAAACTGAAAATATACGTTATACGTGTGTTGGAAAGAGTTGCTATTGTAGAGAATATCGAGGACATAAAGGGGTATATCGGAGATCGTAATCATCATCAACATCATCGTCGCAACATCGAGGCTAACAAGTGAATTCATTATGTTAAACAGAGGAAGGATTTCCTAATACATAGGTACCTTGCTTTTGGGGGAGGACAACAATTGTTAAAATTCACATACATATGTACATGTGTATATATATGTACATATGTATGTAATTTATGTATATGATATATTTAATGGGTTGAAAATGGGGGTGTTAAAAATACATCAAGCCATAGCATCAGTCTCTAATTAATTGAAATGTCCAATATGCCTAAGCATGGTTAAATGCCGAATTGGAACTTAGTTGCGTAAATAATGCATTTCCATTAATATGTAGTTTAGAAATAAGATGGCTTGATGCAAACGTTGTTGTCTATGTACAACTCTGGCTCCTTCCATTTGTGGTGTCTAAATATTTTCAGTATGCACACTTGCATAATTGCTTATGAAAGCTTATCTTCACAGTTAATCTTGTATAGATCAGACATTTGATAAGTAGTTGCAAAACATAAAAAAAAGTTTAATGTGATGCAGACGCATGCATTGCAGAATAAAAGAGGCCAAGGCCAAGATGACCTCAATGAAAATGACCCTGGCATAAATTTAAGCAATACTTAAGAGTTATTTTAAATAAACTACGATCCTTACTCCTATTAGTGCCAAAAAAAGGAACCCTTACGCATATGATTACAAATTATACGCATTCTATCGAGCTGCACCCACTTGGAGCAATATCTTATATGTATAAAAATTACATTCTAATGACAAAGAAAACAACTTCAATCGCTACACGTAAATACACACGAATATGCCAGCTGCTCGCAATGGTGCTACTCTTTTTCACTGCTGACTATTGCGACGCATTGCACTTCAACGTTTTGGTGTAACATCTCATCTGTAGACTAGTACCGCGGAGCAACAAACCAAGTGTACAAAATCAATATATCAGCTTAATGTAATTTCATCAAACTGGACTATGCACAAATTTGTTATTTATAATCCATAGGTTTTACATAAATATGCTTGAGTTTTATGCTAAAATTTAGTTTTATTAATTTTCAGCGTTAATCACTTTTTACGACTTTTCACGGATTTTCTTTGTTTTCCCCTCACGAAAAGAACCAATCACATATCAAAAACACACATTCACACACAACTATACTCCTCTTCCTCTTCCCGAATTTCTTTTCTATTGTTCTCAGCTCGCTTTTGGGTGACGTTTATGTGTTTCTTCGGGTTATTTCCCTCTGCGTTGTCAAATAATTTTATCCAGTGTTGCCAACTTTTCAGTTTCAAAAAGCACCAAACCTTGGAAAAAAGCGTTTTACCGCACTAAAAGCACTCAATTTTTTTTATCAAAGGATACTCTTTTTCATAAAAGTTTGTGGAAAACAAAAGTAAAAAAATAAACAATATTTACATGTATAAATAAATACACATTCATGCTTGCGAAACTGGTACATCTGGAAAAGGAACAATCGAATCGCAACAAACGAAATTGAATGTAAAAGGGGAAGAGTAATACTTAATGATACCCTAAGTAGAAGTGAGCGAAAAAATTTTTTGTTTTATAATATAACATCAAGTATTGCGAAAAACCGTGTTTTTACACTTAGAGGCTAGGATATCTCAAAATTCTGACGTGGTAGAGAAATTCTGCAGCTAGATTTGGATTCAGCACCGAAAAATCTACACAAAACGGTTCCACTCAGGTGGCAAAAAAAGTTAAAATTTTTCGAACTGTGTAATCAATCAATAATCAAGAAAATAAAAAAATAAATACTTAACTTATCTGCGTGCTAGCATTTTCAACGCGAATACAATTTAACAAAAACGCAAGATCGTGGGCTTGCGACTTCATCTTTTTATCAATCATGGTTTGCATTTTAGTGCATTTAAATTTGTAAATTCAGAAATTTTAGTTCAGAAAAAAGCACTAAAAAGGGCTCTAGGCACTAAACCATTATTTTAGGCGTTTTAATTTTCAAAAAGCACTAAGTTGGCAACTATGAATTTTTCTTCCTCTTCAACTTCTGGTGTTGTTCTCCTACTCTGTGCTTTGAATACCAATTCGCAAGGTTCATATCAGACACCAACAACAAAACCCCAAAAAAACACACATACGCACTTGCACACAAACGAAATTTGCAGTAGGGGAAATGCGATGTAAAATTTATGAACAATGGAGTCGTTGCCTGCCTGGCTGAACGCCGTACTTTCCTAGTTCAGTAACTGGACAAGATTTCGAAATGTGCATGCTCGAGCTGTGTGACCTCACAATAAAATAAAATTCACCCGAAAATAGAATCGACTGTGAACCCACGCATTGCGCTGCCACTGTTTGCCTTATTTTTTGTCACTCAATTCACCTTGGCACGACTTGAAACGCACAATCAATCGATTTTTCTTCACTTCAACACAGTGCACACGTGGGACTCCACTTTACTTGGCCTTTTAGAGTCAAAATTGAAATTTTTGATAATTTTTCTGAGTTATTTTCCTTTTTTATGCTTTCCCGAGAAATCCCAACTTCTACATCGACTGTCGATTATCGCAGCAGAAACGGAACAGAGTTGCCAATGCTTCAATGCACTGTTAATCGAAAGTGGGTTTGTAATCGTTTATGGAAGATGTGATATCTGGTTCAGTGATACCGTTGGCATTTTTAGAAAGTTAAAAAAAAGAAGTCACCATGTTATTTTTGCTTTCGTTAGTAGTAAAAGAATAAATCTGTTGATTTTAAAAAGAAAGTAGGGGGACAAGCCTTGCACAAAG